TTGTAGACCGGGGCCTGTCATGTGTCGCAGGTTTGTCCTACAGGGAGATGGGGCTCTGATTAAGAACAGAGCGAGTGCAGAGTCAGCCAAAACCGGGCCTATAAATATGGAGCTCCTGAGGCTGACGGCCAAGAGCACATCTGATCAATAAAGGCTGTGGATTGTACTTCGAGTGTTGCTTTTGAAGACATGTGTGGTAGTGGTTAGTATCAAAACAAAAAGGTCCCGGGTTCAATTCCCTTTAAGATAGTTTCTTATTTTGTCTTGCCGTAACATAAACCATGAAACGTTTGGTATGAGACTGAACCAGGATTTAATCAGCATCAAAGCAAGTCTCTCAATAGAGACTAAACCAGGGTTGTTGGGACTAAATCAGAACTGAACCCAGACTAAATGTAAGAGTATGCTATAATATATTTTCACAAGGACTGAACCAGACCTGAAATAGGACTAAACCAGGATTAAACCAGGACTAAATCAGGATTAAAGCAAGACTAAACCAAGGCTAAACCAACACTGAACTGGGGCTAAACCTGGAATGAATGTGGACTGAATGTGGACTGAATGTGGACTGAATGTGGACTGAACGTGGACTGAACCCGGACTGAACCCGGACTGAACCTGGACTGAACCCGGACTGAACCCGGACTGAACCCGGACTGAACCTGGACTGAACCCATATTAAAGCTGGTCTAAATTTAGACTAAACTGGACTGAACGTTGAACTGAACGTGAACTGAACGTGAACTGAACTGAACTGAACTGAACTGAACGTGAACTGAACGTGGACTGAACGTGGACTGAACCCAAACTATACTCGGACTATACCTGGACTAAACCAGGACTCATCAGGGCTAAACCAGGACTCAGCCAGGCTAAACCAACACTGAATTGGGGCTAAACCTGGACAAAATGTGGACTGAATGTGGACCAGGGTTGAACCCAGACCAAACCCAAACCAGGACCAAACCAGGACCAAACCAGGACCAAACCAGGACCAAACCAGGACCAAACCAGGACTAAACCAGGACTAAACCAGGACTAAACCAGAAGGCCAACTATAACGTAATTAAACCTGGTCTTTACCAAGATTAAAGTGAAGTAAATTGAACCAGGGCTAAAGCAGAACAAAACCAGGACTAAACCAGGACTAAATCGTGACTAAATCAGAACTGCTGGAGAACAAACCCAGGACTGAACCAGGGCAAAACTGGGACAAAACCAGGACTGAACCACAACTAAACCAGGACTAAACCAAAACCTAAACTGTACACAAATTATATCTCTTCCAGCACAATATTCTTGACCAAAAACTCGGCCCAGATGTGACCAACCAACAACCAACCGACAATCCCAGCTAGCATGACTCCACCAAAACAAAACCCCAAAATCGAACACACTTCCTTTACACGATTGGAATGTGAAAATAACCAGTTGACAAGTTAGCCCCCCACCCAAGATGCCGTCATAGCTCGTAACGTGGCTGCGGTCCACTCGGATCTGGGTCAGGCCGCTTTTATTTGCTAACATTAGTACCAGAATGTAGCGGATAATGTTGGTGACCCGAGTTAACCAACACTCTGTAGCGTATTATCTGCAGCCAGCGTTGGGAAGGTGACTTTTAAAATGTATTCTCCTACAGATTACAGATTACACACCTCAAATTGTAGTTTGTAACGGAATCCATTAGGTTACTTAAAGTGAGTAACGTAATCTGAATACTTTGGATTACTTGGTTTGCTCTAGAGTAAAATACTAGGAAATCTTCACATAAGATGTTTTGTCTGGTAAAAGCAATAAAAAAGCCCAGACTTTACTTAACCGTATTAAAAATATTATTGATAGAAGAGGAGGAAACACGGTCCATGCAGCATGATTTAGTCCTGTTAAATCCTGGTTTTATACCTGTTTTAGTCCTGTTTTAGATCTGGTTTAGACCTGGTTTAGTCCTGGTTTAGTCCTGGTTTAGACCTGGTTTAGACCTGGTTTAGACCTGGTTTAGTCCTAGTTTAGACCTGATTTAGTCCTGGTTTAGATCTGGTTTTAGATCTGGTTTAGACCTGGTTTAGACCTGGTTTTAGACCTGGTTTAGATCTGGTTTAGATCTGGTTTAGACCTGATTTAGTCCTGGTTTAGACCTGATTTAGTCCTGGTTTAGATCTGGTTTAGATCTGGTTTAGATCTGGTTTGGACCTGGTTTGGACCTGGTTTAGACCTGGTTTGGACCTGGTTTGGACCTGGTTTAGTGCAATAAGTGGAATTACTTAAAAAAAAAAAAAAAAAAAAAAAAAAGGGGGGGGGGGGAACAGGAAAATATCACCATGTAATCCATTTATTTCAACCAAGTAACTGTAATCCAATTACCACTCACTGAAACTGTAACTGTAACCGAATACAGTTACTCATAATTTGTACTCTGATTACGTAACTCCGGTACATGTAATCTGTTACTCCCCAACACTGTCTGCAGCCCATCCAGTCTGCCCCGGGCCTATTTACATAACTCTATAATCGATAACATTGCTTTGTCCAGCTGTGTAACATCACATTAGCCTGTTTCTATGGACAAAGCCATTGGGAGAATAGTAGGTGGTGGTCCATGTGTTGGCCACGTGACGCAACTATCGCTAAAAGGTTTCATGTGTATTCTAAAACTTGACGATGGATACTGACGAAATTACTTGTTTAATTCTAATTTGGGGTTGTTTTTTTACATAGTGTGACCAGATTTTCAAAATAAAAAACTGGGACATCCCCGGTTTGAGTCAATTGGTAATAATAAAATTGTGAAGCGAGTGCGTCATTAAGGAAACTTGTTACGCACTCGGCGCTAATGTGAGCCAGTATTGTCACATTTTCTTTGTGTTTTGGTCATTTTTAAGCAGCTTTTGTCTATTTTACCTAAACAAATTATAATTTATGCCTCTCTTTACTGTTGGGAGGGATCAAATTGGTCAAAAATAGGGAAACCTGGGACTTTTTTTTGTATAAAACTGGGACAAATCACTGGTTTTGGATAAATCTGCTGGGACAGGGGACACAGGGCTCAAAACTGGGATTGTCCCAGGTAAAAAGGGACATTCCGTCACCCTAATTTTGGGGGTTTTCGTTGGTTTTTACACCCAAATGAAGCTAAAAACAAATGAAGCCAAACGAAGCTGGATTAGGTTCAAGTATTACTAGACCCAGGTCCCAATTTTGAGCCCTGTATCCCTGTCCCAGCAGATTTATCCAAAACCAGTGATTTGTCCCAGTTTTCTACAAGAAATGTCCCAAATGTCCTTATTTTTGACCAATCTGATCACTGCTAACAGTAAAGAGAGGCATAAATTGTAATTTTTAGGTAAAATACAGAAAAGCTGCTTAAAAATCACCAAAACACAAAGAAAATGTGACTATACTGACTCACATTAGTGCCAAGTGCATAACAATTTTATTATTACCAACCAACCCAAACCAGTGATGTCCCAGCTTTTTTATTTTGAAAATTTGGTCACCCTATTGTTTAATTCTAATTCAAGTGTCTGTTTTGAGTTTTTTTTTACACCCAGAGCTAAAATCAATAGCTGGATGAGGTTCAAGTATTACTAGAGTATCCAGACCCGGGACAGTCCCAGTTTTGAGCCCTGTGTCCCATGTCCCAGCAGATTTATCCAAAACCAGTGATTTATCCCAGTTTTATACAAGAAATGTCCCAGGTGTCCCTTTTTTTGACCAATCTGATCTCCGCTAACAGTAAAGAGATGCATAAATTGTCATTTTTTAGGTAAAATACAGAAAAGCAGCTTTAAAATGACCAAACCACCAAGAAAATTTGACTATACTGACTCACAGTGCCCAGTGCATAACAATTTTCCTTAATTACAGACTCATTTCACAATTTTATTATTACCAACTGACCCAAACCAGGGGTGTCCCAGTTGTTTTATTTTGAAAATCTGGTCACTCTATTGTTTCATTTTAATTCTAGTGTGTTTTTTTTTTTTCTTTGGTTGTTTTGTACACCCAAATGAAGCTAAAAACAATATGTGGATGAGGTTCAAGTATTTCTAGAGTAACCAGACTCGGGACAGTCCCAGTTTTGAGCCCTGTGTCCTCTGTCCCAGCAGATTTATCCAAAAGTAAAGATGCACCAAGCAGCTTTTTCAGTTCTGATACAGATTCTGATACTACAGCTTTAAGTATTTGCCAATGCACGACGTCAACTAATGCCAGTGCAAAGACTGAAAACAGCTTTTATTTCCTTAAAACAAAAATAAAATTTGACAAAACTGATCCAAATGTGTTTTTTAACTGTTATTTTCCCCTCATGTAACCACAGAACAGCTTTGTATAAATAAAAGTTCAAACATTGTGAGACTTTGGGCCAACTCCAACCAGTAAATAGTCTAATTACATCAATGTATACTTTATGGCCAACCAGGATATCGCCTGAACTGATATTTGGAAGTTGACATTTGCTGCCATCCATAACCATTGATTTGTCCCAGTTGTATGTAAGAAACGTCCCAGATGTCCCTATTTTTCACCATTTTGATACCCACCAATAGAAAAGGGGCCAATATATTGTTATTTGTTGCTTAAAATACAGAAAAACATGCTTGAAAAGGCAAAAAAAAAGATTATATACTGAACTAAGTGAGTCGAGGATGGACAATATGAGCTCTTTTCTCAGTTTTATTTGTACCAACCATCCAAACCCGGGTGTGTTTTGAATTTTTTTTACATGTGGTCACCCTAAGTATTAAACAAAATATGAATGGACTGTAAAATGAAACAGACGGGATGAACTGTCACTTATATTCCTGTTGATTGCCCATGTCTAGAACTCATTGTCTTCTCTGTAAACAGCCCATAGACACTGCAGAAGAATGCAGTGACATCACATGACCTCCCTCTCTCCCTCTCTCCCCTCTCCTCTCTCCATCTCTCCATCTCTCCGTCTTTCGCTCTGTCTCTCCGTCTCTCACACATGTCTGCTGTTGTGTGTCTGCTCACAGGAGTGACTCTGTTCGTGGCCCTGTACGATTACGAGGCTCGCACCGAAGATGACCTCAGCTTCAGGAAGGGCGAGCGCTTCCAGATCCTCAACAGCACGTAAGTCACTCCACTGTACAACAACAAGCACACAACTCTATACTAAACAATGTACAACAACAAACACACAAGTAAGTACATACTAAACAATGTACAACAACAAGCACACAAGTCACTCCACACTAAACAATGTACAACAAGTAAGTCACAACAACATGGTCAACACTGTACAAAATATGGTGTTAGATAAATAATGTGCTTGTTACTCGGGTTGTTGAAAGTATTTAAAAAAAATTCTGAAATAATTATCAAAATTTAAGCGGAAAATGTAAAAATCAAGACAAAATTTGACCTTTCCTAAACTTGGAATTGAGCATTAACGGAACAAATATTAGACGACATGGCAAAGGTGGAACCAAGTTGTTGTTTTGCAAGTATCAAGTAAGTCTAAAGTTTTTGACCTCAAGTCCGAGTCAAATACAGGCAAGTCCATGTCAAGTCACTGGACCATAAGTCCAAGTCAAGTCCAAGTCGTCTGCTGTGAGCTTCAAGTCATTTCAAGTCTTTAAACCAAAGTAACAAATATTGCTTAAATTTTTGCAGTTCATATGATTTTTAACATAAATTGTACTTAAAAAGTCATAGTGTATTTGTATATGAGTATTTATAGAGCATATTAGAGTTGTAGAAATTTATTTAGTAAATTTTTCTTTTTTAAATGTTTTGACAAGATCGTAGTGTGAATCATTACAGTCAGAATAGAAAGAATTCCGATTTAAAATTGCTTCTCAAGTCACAGGCCTCAAGTCCAAGTCGAGTCCCAAGTCTTAGCCCATTTTATCAAGTCAAGTCTCAAGTCCTAAATATAATAACTCAAGTCTAACTTCGAATCCAAGTCATGACTTGCAAGTCCCCACTTCTGCCACATGATAACATAAAGAAATTATAACTAAACTGAATCATGATCATTGTAGTTTTGAAAATTGCATCGAGTCATTTCCTTAGTATCAAATTTTAATCTGAATTGTCAGTATCATGACAGCACTACTTCCATTATGACTAACAGGGATGTAAAAATATATATTGATCTAATATAGTTGCAGGTTCATTTGTGTATTTTATATTTTTTATTTTTTATTTTCTTTGAATTTTGTTTTCATCGTAAACCATAATCCTTTTCCATGTAAAAGTGCAAGCATCATACAGAAATTACATGAAACTTGACCTTGAGGAGTGTTACATTCTAACATACTTGCTTAACAATAAATACTTAATGCCACAAGATGTAACTTTTTAGCAAAAAAGAAAGCAAGAAGCATATTTTTTGTTGTTTATTGCACTGAAAAACATATCCTTACTGTGAGCGTGATTGCATCTCCACAAACCTGACCAGGCCTGGAGAAGGACCTCTCTCTTTGGTCATTATCTTCCACAGTATAAAACTCATTTATCTCCTTGGGTTTTGTCCCAGAGGATTAATTTTCTATTTCCCTGGAATCATGAGGTGACGCGCCATCTCCAGAACATTACAACCTTTAATATAAACAAGCACACAAGTAACTCCATTCTAAACAGTGTACAACAACAAGCACACAAGTCACTGGTCCATGTAACATTCGTTCTTTTGGATTTAAATTAAGAACGAAAAACAATAAAATGGGGAAAACAATTTATTTCATTATTCTGCTTTAGTTTCCAAAAAAAAAAAAAAAAAAAAAGATTTCAACATCTATTTCCAATATTTAATTTGAAGTTTATTTCAAATAACACCACTCAAAAAACAGTCTCGGTGCCTATTTTAATTTGGATATTTTATTCTCTCTGGTTCATATGAAGTTCTGCTGCAACAAGGACTTACCTGTTGCAATTTTGTGGACAAACATGTCTCTTCTTTTATAGCGATGCTTTTACTTTGATGTCTTAGTCAGAGTTCATAAGTCTATTCCTGTCTACTCTATGACAGGAAACAGGAAGCAACGAGGTGTTAAACTTCTACACCATAGAATTTTATTATATTATATTATATTATCATTATATTATATTATATTTATATTATATTATATTATATATATTTAATATTATTATTATATTATATTATATATTATTATATTATATTATATATTTTTTATTATAGATCCATAGTTGACATTGTAGCAGAACTTCCATGGCAAATAAACCAGAGAGAATAAAATAATTTTAAAAAATAGTAAATAAATTAAAATAGGCACCAGGACTGTTTTAATTGGTGTTATTTGAGAGAAACTTTATATTAAATGTTGGAAATAGAGGTCGAAATCCCTTTTCTTTTTTTTTTTAACTAACTAACTAACTACATACTAAACTATGTACAACAAATAAGACACTACTACATGGCCAACACTGTACAAAAATTGTTGTTAGTATTTAAAAGTATTTTTAAAAGTTACAAATTGATTCTGAAATAAGTATAAAATTTTGAGTAAATGCAAAAATCAAGACAAATTTTTACCTTTCCTGAACATAGAATGAAGTTGATCTTTATTGGCATTAAGTCATTTCCTTAGTATCAAAATTTAATTTGAAATTTCAGTATTGTGACAACACGACTTCCTTTATGACTAACAGGGATGTACACATATATATTGATCTAATATAGTTGTGGGTTCGTGTGTATTTTTATATTTTTTCTCTTTTCTTTGAATTTAATTTTCATCGTAAACCTTTATCCTTGTGCAGGCAACAATAACAATAAATATACCATCATTTTTGTCCAGGCCAGTTTCATTATTTTGTTTTTTCTAATAATTCAGTTGAACCACAGGTGAAAAGCAATGCTTGATTTTTGTTGGACAACTTTCTGTAAATTTTTATTATTGCTTTTCTCAATTTTAAGTTCTTTCAGTGACCATTGTTGATTTTTCTTTCTTTGCCAGAGGGGTACCAACAATTTTATCCGCACATCTGTATTTGTCTTAACAATAAATACTTAAAGCCACAGTGTGTAACTTTTTAGCAAAACAGAAAGCAAGAAGCATATTTTTTGTTGCATCGTTACTGTGAGCGAGTTTGCATCTCCACAAACCTGACCAGGCCTGGAGGAGGACCTCTGTCTTTGGTTATTATCTTCCACAGTATAAAACTCATTTATCTCCGTGGGTTTTGTCCCAGAGTATGGTATAAATATTCTACTTCCCTGGAATCATGAGGTGACGCGCCACCTCCAGAACATTACATAATGAACCTCTAAAATAAAAAATACACAAGTTTGTTCACTTTATGTCTGGTTGGTATGTTTTTTTAAAAGGAAAAAAAACTTTTCTTAGTGCCTGCTGGAAGGTACACTAAGTAGCTACTGTATCGTAATGTTTTTTGTTTTTTTTTTATTTTTTTGGTTTTTTTTGGAGCGTTCTTTCACTGACTTGAATATGAACTAACTTGTGTACTGCTGTGGTGTGTTGCAGGGAGGGGGACTGGTGGGAGGCACGCTCTCTCACCACTGGAGGCACCGGATACATCCCCAGTAACTATGTGGCCCCCGTGGACTCCATCCAGGCCGAAGAGTGAGTCCAACTGTGCCCTACGTGTGCTATAGTATAATCATATCTATATAAGGAAACGTCCGAATATAATTGTTTTGTGTTCTCTCCTCTGTGTACAGCTGGTATTTTGGAAAACTAGGCCGGAAGGATGCAGAGAGGCAGCTCCTGTCCAATGGCAACGCTCGGGGCACTTTCCTTATCCGAGAGAGTGAGACCACCAAAGGTACAAAACAAACTCTACTAGACAGATAAAGTGAGACCTACAAGTTTGGGTTCACGTGATGTTACAACTTTCTAAACTGTACTTTCAGCTGGAAGACGGATCAGAATCCTATCGTGTCTTTTAAAAGGCCGGTACACAGTTTTTTGCTTCATGTTTCTGAGCAAAATTTGTGTATTGTCCCAGTATTGGTGTATTATAATAAGCAACTCTTGAAGTGAAAATAAGTCTGCTAAAATGTTTATATTGTCTGATCAGTCAGGAAGTGTGGTCAGCATGCTAGTTGATCCAATCCAATCCACAGTTTCCAGACAGTTTCCAAAGTGCTGCACAAATACATACTAATAATACATACTGATAATAATATAATGATAAAATAAACACTCAGATTTAGTCATTTTACTCTTAAAATAATAAAACCAGTCAAATAAAATAAGAGCAAAACCATAGAATGGCAATAAATTAATAAAACCAATAAAATACATAAAAAATAAATCAAATATATAAGACAAGTGTTAAAAGCCAGAGAGGAAAAGTGGGGTTTAAGCTGAGATTCTTCTGGCTCTTGGGACATGGAGGAGCAGAGTGTTCCAGAGATCAAGCCCGGCCACAGTTGATGTTGATGCGTTGAATGAGCAGGGAGTTATTCAGCTCTTTCAGCACTGCCCTCTTAACCAGGCTGGCGTTACCTAGTGCCTCCGCTCAAATTTCATTTCTCTCCAGCGACTAGGTCAGGAATCAAAATACAATAAACAGTTCGCAAAAACCCTGGAAGTCGAAGTTCGGGCACCAGCCAATCAACGAAGAGTCATATATGCTGTGTTGTCAATGATTCCCAAGATCAAGGATTTAAAGCCGGAATAAAGTGAATGTTTGGTGAATTTAATGAAGAGGATAGATGTTATTGCCCTTCTTCCTATGGGATTTGGGAAAAGCTTAATATACCAGTTTGCCCCTTTAGTGGCCATTATATACGTCACGACCAAATAGCAGCAATTGGTGAAATGATACAAAGTACTCGCCTACTGTCGAGCGAACAAAATCTAAGGCTGCGAGGTCAGATGGTTTGTACGAAGTGAAACGAAGTAAAACCAGCTGATGAATCAGGCTACCGTCCTCTGGCAGATTCATAGAACTGTAGTTACATTGATAAGTTTCATTGTTTGCTGATCTGGTTTATAGTTAATGCTAATGTTACTACTTGGCCTATCCACATGAAACAAAAAATGACAAGGTCAGTGTTGTTACAAATGAAGGTAAATGAAGTGTGGCATTATTCAAACATTCTGATAGTTTTCTGTTGTAAGGAAGGAATTTGGCAGGAGTGGATCCAGTCCCTAAGAAGTGATAAGGTTCAGTATTTGTAAATATTTCTTTCAGTGGAAACAGTGAATCTAGCCTGGCTGGTCCCACCTAGTGCCTCCACTCAATTTCATTTCTCTCCAGTGGCTAGATCAGGAATCAGAATACACTAGACTGTAGACTAGACTAGACTGTAAGAACCCTGGAAGTTGTAGACCACACATTGGCCAATCAGTGAAGAGCTGTGAAGCCGTGACCTTAAACTCAAGCGCCTGTCTGTGTCCCTTTTGTGAAACAGCACAACAGTAAACAAAGCGGTCGAGATGAATGTGGACGAAGACATACGTTCTGTGTTGGCAAGGACTCCCGAGATTGAAGATTTAAAGACGGAACAAAGAGAATGTTTGGTGAATTTTATAAATTTTATCCCGTTCTTCCTACGGGATTTGGCGCATTACAGACATCATGACCAAATAGCAGCGATTGGTTAAATTAAAAAAGTACCCGCCTACAGTCGAGCGAATGAATCCTAATGTGGCGAGGTCAGACAGTTTCCACAAAGTGAAACGGTCTGAAGAATCTGGCAACAGTGAATCTCCCACGGTTAATACCATAGAACCTGGCCTTCTATCAAACTCTTAAATGAATCAAACCTATATTTTTTTTCATATAGATTTCGACTTTTGATTGTAGCATGTTTTTTTTAAATGAAACTTGAAGCACAGAGAACTGTAGAGTTTGGTTTGAGAGCAGGGCGGCTGGTACAGACAGGTTGGAGTGGGAAGACGACAAACTTGTGATATGCCAAAAAACAAAATGGCCAAATGGCAAAAGCAACAGTGATATTTGAAAACAGGAACTAGAACGCAACATTACTGGGACCAGGTGAACGCTTCCCACAATCTATACACTATTGGCATCTTTATGCATTTACATAATCATATCAGCTAACCTATATTTGGTTGGTTTGTTCACGGCCCACGAGTAACTGTGAAAACTGGTTACAGATAAGCTTATGGTCTCAGGGCTACATATTGGTTTGGTTCTAGTTTGAGCCTGGTTTAGTCCTTGTCAAGTCCTAGTCTAGTTCTGGTCTAGTCCTGGTCTATTTCTGGGTGAAGTCTGTTGTTTGTGTGAGCAAGTGTGAACACAGTTATAGAGAGGGAGTATATAATTCTGGCCCACCAAAGAAATTAGTTTAAAAAGTAAAATTTCAACATCTGATTGTTTTCTCTTCTTTCGAGATATGTAATGTTAAACCTTTTTTTTATTCAAATAAATGTTTAATAATAGTTTTTGCTTAAACATTGAATCTAGAACAAGCATAATATAACAACATTTTAACTAAATAATGTGTCTATTGCTGTATAGCTCTCTGTATCTGTAGCCAGCGGCGCAGCTCTAATCCATATTTGATATGATCTCGCGGACCAGATATAATTATATTGCGTTCCAAATTTGGCCCCCAGGCCTGAGTTTGACATGTTTGATTTAAACCAACTGGATTTCAGCATTAGAAACTGACAACCCAAATGAGAGACTCATGTGAGGCTCATTCTGCTTTCTGACTGGAGAATTGTCTTTAACTAAAACATCTTATAACATAAGCAACTTGTCCATCATGTCCAATGTTTTTGTAATTCAGAATAAATCTGCATTACAATTGTTATCAGAAAAAGCTGCATTTGATTTGAACATGTTTACCTCATATCTGGAGACACAGTTTTAGGAATGTGCTTGAAATAAATGAAAATCCTAACACCGTTCCTGTTGTGTGTGCTCTAGGGGCCTACTCTCTGTCCATCCAGGACTGGGACGATATTAAAGGAGACCACGTGAAGCACTACAAAATCCGCAAGCTGGACAACGGAGGATACTACATCACCACCAGAGCGCAGTTTGAGACGCTACAGCAGCTGGTCCAGCACTACTCGGGTCAGTCCAGACTCTGTAGACTCATACACTGACATTACATGTAGCCCTGGTCACGTCTGTGGGGAGAACAGGAAATGTCATGTTGCTGTTTTGGGGTCTTTCTCATTTCCACTTGAACCAACCTCCTGAGAGTTCTTCTGAATGATCTGGGAACAAAAGCTGGACAAAGTCACCATTCATTCTTTTATTCTTTTTTATGGATCTCTATTAGTTATTACCACAACAATAACTAAAAACAGACACTATACTATTCATTTCACATAAAGATATTCTGTTCAAACATTTGTATTGCTACATATAGAAAGTTCAGCCATTTGCATTTTCAATTCACACAATCTGTCACTTGATATTTTTGAACATCTAATGACAGTTTCTTTAAGTATAATTTGTTTGCATTTTTTTTTAAATAGCTCCTCCTTTTTAATCTGTATTCAACTAAAGGCAGGCCACAGTGCATCAGATCTGAGGGTGTGGGTCTGGTGCCCATGTGGATCTTTAGTGAACTGATTGTAAAGACACACAGGCTCTTTACGCAGAGACAGCTCTCTCACAAACTGAGCCCGTCACAGCTTCATCTCATTTGTACTGTGAACCATGAAGGTCTGCAGTGCATCTCTTCTACATGTTCCACCATGATGAGGCTGCCCCTGGGGCCAGGTGTTTGTGATCAGAAACATCTGGCTTTTAAAGTATGGTCACAGTATGTCACTTTTAGCCAAAAAATAGACAAAACAAAGTTTTACTTGGATTTGGTTGTTTTTTATTGCACTGAAAAATGTGTGCTTCTCTGGATCTTATTTATCCTGGAGAAGAGCCTCCTGCTTGTTTCCATGGAAATGTTATTCTCTTGGCTGTAATATTCCACAGTATGACAACAACTGACCTATCTCCTAGAGGAATATTCCGAAGTATGATTTAATTTTCCATGGAAGTTAACTTTCCATGGAACAACCTCCAGAAAGTTACATGCTGCACCTGTTAATACAAGCAGTCCTGTGTGATCGCACGTAGTACTTGAATTTGCAGTGACCACTAGAGGCAGCACACTCTGTTTTTACTGAGAGTGTGCTGTTTTACTGTTTCTTTTACAGTTTTGTATAAAAAGTCGATTTAGTGTTTAGTTCCACTTTAAATGGCACACATTACATTATTTCTTGATCTAAGTTATGATGTTTCCTCATCACAAACAGACCTGGAGTTTTGTTTTGTTTCATTCACACATTTTTAGCGCACACACCCTGCATATTTAGGCTGTGTTCTTCTGCCAAACAGAAAACACTCTGGTCCACCTTGTGATGTCATGTGGTAATACAAGAAGTGTTCCACTGTGTTTTTAAACTCCATAGACCGTCGTCACTAGAATCATTTGGATAATTTCAGGTCTGGAATTGCAAATTTTCGTCAAATACTTTCCTCCGTGCAGTTGTTTCACAGTATGATATTATTCTATGTTCACGGACACCAAACCAGACAAAGTTACAGGTCAGATCTGTGGCGAGGCGACCCCGCTCACAGGCAGAATACCTGTTTTTTCTTTTTGAGCTATAAAACCACCTGTAGTTGAATACATGTAAGGTAGAGCTGTTACATCCTGCAGCTTTAACATTGCGCGTGTCAAATAAATCGATCTGTCTGTCTCTGTAGCTCGTGCCGCCGGCCTGTGTTGCCGTCTCATCGTGCCCTGTCACAAAGGCATGCCCCGCCTCACAGACCTGTCCGTCAAAACCAAAGACGTGTGGGAGATCCCCCGAGAGTCTCTGCAGCTCATCAAGCGCCTGGGCAACGGACAGTTCGGAGAGGTCTGGATGGGTACGTACTGCATATGTGTACTTGTACCACTACTAATGCCTCATACTGCACTTGTGTACTTGTACTACTACTGCTACTACTACTGCTACCCCTATTCTTTGCAGTTCCACCCAAATGGAACTGCAAAGAATAGTACTGTGCTTGTGTATGAGCAATACTACTACCACTCATACATCTACCTCTGGATGGGTGTGTACTGCACTTGTGTACTTGTACTACTAATACTACTACTACTACTACTACTACCTATTAGTACTACTAATATTACCCCATACTACACTTGTGCACTTGTACTACTACTGCTACTGCCCCATACACACACATGTAGATGGTTGTGTACTGCTGATGTGTACTTAAACTACTACTACTACTACTACACACATACACACACTACTCATATACACACATCTACATAGCTATGTACTGCACTTGTGTTCGGCACTTCATACTACACTTGTGTACTTGTACTACTACTACTACTACTACTAAGTCATACACACATATCTGGGTGGCTATGTACTTCCCTTATGTACTTGTACTACTGATACTGCCCCATACCACACTTGTGTACTTGTACTACAAGTAATACCCGATACTGCACTGGTGTACTTGTACTACTACTGCTACTGCCCATACTGCTCTTGTGTACTGCTACTGTCCCATACACACACATCTGGACGGGTGTGTACTGCTGATGTATACTTTTACTTTTACTACTACTGGGAGGACCCGGCTAAACATACTTAGCATATTGGGTCATTTTCAGCTCACACCCAGATTCTATTACAATCACGCTCACAGATCTGAACCAGTAAAGTAGTGAAGTGTAATAGTGGTTGTAGTACTAGTACAGCACTGGGGGTAGTAGTACTAGCAGAGCAGTAGGACATTTGGGTGGAACTGCAAAGAATACTTATCATATTGGGTCATCTAGAGCTCACGTCCAGATCGTGTTCCCTATAATCAGGCGCAGAGATTTGAACCAATACTGGCTGAAATCTAGTTGCACAAGCAGGTTATAGCAGTAAAGTATTTGTATTAGTAGTAGTTGTTGTATAAACTTTTAAAATATAATATAATCTTTTATTCAGGTCTGCTTGATGTGACTAGTTTGACAAATCACAACCACCAGCACATCTACTCTGTTTTTAAACCTGTGTGTATTTTATTCAGGCACCTGGAACGGCACGACCAAGGTGGCGGTGAAGACCCTGAAGCCGGGCACCATGTCTCCAGAGTCGTTCCTGGAGGAGGCCCAGATCATGAAGAAGCTTCGGCACGACAAACTGGTGCAGCTGTACGCCGTCGTGTCCGAGGAGCCCATCTACATCGTCACCGAGTACATGAGCAAAGGTATGCCAGCACGTCAGATACTACCACGCATGGGGTTAGGAGGGGGGTGGTGTGTTTCCATGGCGATTATTTGCGTAATGAAGATGTTAAAGGTGCTGTACCTGATTTTTACCTGTCATTAAAATGTGAAAAACAGAACTAGTCCAACAGTTTGCAGTGGTCCAAAGTTATTCCTCACCTACCTTATCCATTCTGAGCATCCTAATTATTCACTACTATGAATTTATAAGCACTCTCAGACCCCAAAGCAGAGTTTTTCCACAACTGTAGAGCCAGCAACAACTAGCATGCTAACAGCACTTCCTGATTAAGAGATATAAGAGCTGCTTATACAATTATCTGTACTAGGTCAAAACAAATTTTGCTTAAAGACATGGAGTAAAAATGGGTGCATGGTAGGGGTGTAACGGTACGGGACGTTTGTTTCGGTGCAGGGCTGTGCACGACTGAATTCGCGCAGTTTGTGTGTGGTTACATTCCACCACTACATGTGCAGCTACATGGAAGGCTCGGCTCTTTAATATTCATAAGGGAACTTGTCCGTGTTTGGGGTGGCAGTGTTTTCCGCAGCGCTTCATAGTTAGAGCGGCCGCCTGGACAACAATTGTCCCCCGCCTTGACTACATCCCTCCAAACCATGTGAATCCTTTAAAACTATGATCATTGTGCCACAGTCCTCACTTTCGCCTTTCTCTGGCATGGAATCTCCACTGCCACCGCTTATTGCAGACAATGTGGAAGTTGTTTCTTTCTGGCCAAAAATATGAAGATTGAGTAAAACTTCATCCTGGAACTGTTAGTGCTGCGCTTCACTTTTGAAAAGTTTTGTTTACTGTTTACAAGGAATTTATTTTTTATAATATTTCAAACATTTGTTGCTCATTTGAGAATATTTTATTTAACTTATTAGTGTTACCAAGCAGCACTTTGCATTTAATTTATTTTCCCATTTGTATAATGTGAAAACAAATTGTTGGTTTAATAAACACACAAATAAACAAGTAAATGATTTTGCACTGTACCGAAAATGAACCGAACTGTGACCTCAAAATCAAGGTACCTACAGAACCGTGATTTTTGTGTACTGTTACACCCCTAGTACATGGACTTTAAAACACAGAAACTTTAAACCAAAGAAGTTATAAAAATTCCCAACACCTAATATTTAGAATACAGATAGATATACAAACATTATTGCCGTCGTAATGTTGTGTGTTGTCTTGTCCCATTTTGGTGGCCTTCTTTGAGACTTGTGAAAGGTCAGTCTAAGTGTGAGGCCTGTACTGTAGATGCAGCTGCTCAGGTTATTTTAGAGCTCCTGGAAATACCTCCTGTAGTCCGGAGTTCTCGGAGTGGAAAGATGACCCCCGCTATAAGAATGTTTGTGTTCTTAAAAGACAAAATAGCAGAAATTAATAGATAATATTCATGATTTTATTTTCTCTTTTTAGGAAGTTTGCTGGACTTCTTGAAGGACGGAGAGGGCCGAGGACTCAAGCTTCCAAACCTGGTAGACATGGCCGCTCAGGTAAGTTTGTAGTAATAGTTATAGTGATGATAACGGATGTCATTTTTAACAACAGTCAAGGCGGTCCAGAGAGTAAAAGCCAAAAGATTAAGATATTATTTACAATGCACACAACTGAAAAACATTACATCTAGTTTAAACTCCACTCATTGCCTACTTCAGTCCCTGTTTGAGCAACTGAATCCAACAAGAATGTCATCTGATGTGAGAACCAGTGATGGGAGAATAATTAAGTTGCAGAAACAATAGTTAAGGTTCAAGGGACAGTCTGGAATTTTGGACATAGGACCTCATTTCCTAGTGAGCCAGAGTGTTGTAGACGTGTGGAGACACTAAATATTCCATCCAGTCCTTGTATTTGCAGAGGTCACTGGTTCTAGGCTAGTGCATGTCAATGGCCATAGTTATCCTGCCACTATAAACAGTCTTACCCACTCCACAAAACACCTGAAGCAAAAGTATTATTACTCCAGACTGTCGATGTAAATGTTTGTGTTGATAGATTAATGTTTAAAATAAAACTAACCTTGCATCGCATGTTGAAGGACTATTTTCTCATATATCAATCCTCCGCTGCCAAACTTTCTATCAGGAAGTACAGCTCGCTGCTGCTGCTCAGACATAAATCCTTCAATTGCAAGGTTGGTTTTACTTCTAAAATTATTCCATCAACACAGACATTTACATCGACAGTCTGGCGTAATAACAGATTTGCTTCGAGCACTTTGTGGAGTGGGTAAGACTGTTTTTAGTGGCAGAATAACTATGACTATTGACACGCACTAGCCGAGCACCGGCAACCTCTGCAAATACAAGGACTGGATGGAATATTTAAAAAAGTATCTCCACACATCTCCAACACTCTGGAATTTTGGACATAGGACCTCATTTCCTAGTTAGCCAGACTGTCCCTTTAAAGGTTAAGGTCCTCTGCATTTGGCCCATCCTTCAAGTTCTGGGTCATCTCATCAGGAGCAGTGGTTCCGCCTCCAGATCCAGAGCTAGGCTTGGTCAGGACTATCTTAGCTGGAGGATTTTAACTATAGTGCATGTTTTGGCTTGAGGAAACCCACCCACACATGAAGAGAAACATGCGAACTCCACACAAAAAGGCCAGGAAATCTAATCCAGAACTTTCTTGCTATGGGGCGAGAGCATTAGGGAGCCTTCTGTAGTTAAGTATAAGCCAAAATATTAGGTCTACAGAGGTTTGCAGATTTCCAAAGCTATTCCTCATTTACTCAATGAATTTAGAGCATCCTAATTACCCATTACCGCAGCCGGTTTGTTAATGGCTGTCACAGAAATGCTATTAACTACCATGTTAATGAGCACTTTCTGAATCTCAGACAATAAAGCACATTATAATTAAATGCAGACAGAATGCAGAGGACATATTTTGACCTTAGCAGCTGCTTATACAATATATATCTGTGCTGAGGTAAATACATGGGAAAACATCTGGCTACAGGGCCTTTGAGGAGTTACAAGGTCTAGCAAGCTACAAGTTATTTTTTAAAGTACTAAAGCATTGTTTCCCAAAGACTGGGTTGCAACCCTCAGGTGGGTCACAAGATCTGCATGTAGATCTGCAATATACAGTTGTAAACATGGATCGTATTTTATTATCGTCATTCTGGATCAGCATTTCATCAGAATATCCTGTCCTCAGTAGGGCCAGAGTTTCTATGCTTGTTCCTTTCACTACTCCATAAATCTGTGAATTGGGATTTTCTGTGTTCACAAAAATGAAGACAAAGCACAGAAACAGACTGAACGCTGCTCCTGATCTGCGTGTTTCACTCTCCTCCTGCACCACGGACTTAACGCTACAAAAACACAAACAGGCCCACCTATCTCATGTTGAAATGTTAAGACATGTTTTATAATTGTTTCTAATCTTTTTGTAATTATTCTATTGACTATTTTGTTTCAGTGTTGCCGGTTCAATTGAATGTTGAAAAGAAAAAGAAATGGGCTACGTTTAATGGCCAAATAGGCGACTTATGGATACTTTTATTGCTGCTTCAATTACTGATTTTCATTGTTTAAAACTTGAGTCATACTAATTGTTTAGAGAGACATGATCAGTAATGGTCAAATTCACCTTTATTTTGGGATTTGCGAATAATAATCTATTGACTTAGGTCACGAAGGTTTATATATATATATATATATATATATATATATATATATATATATATATATATATATATATATATATATATATATATATATATTCACTAATCTACACTGTAATATACTGTATAGTGTCTAAACTGCACATTCTGTATATATCACATTTACTGCTCCTTGCACTTCTGATTAGAGGCTAAACTACATTTCATTGTATTTATACATGTGTAATGACAATAAAGTTGAATCTCATCTAATTTAATTTCTCCTTCTTCTGTGCGTTATGTGCAGGTGGCGGCGGGTATGGCCTACATCGAGAGAATGAACTACATCCACAGAGACCTGCGATCGGCCAACATCCTGGTGGGGGACAGTCTGGTGTGTAAGATCGCCGACTTCGGACTGGCCCGGCTCATCGAGGACAACGAGTACACCGCCAGACAGGGTAACCACGGCGACGCCCGATCTGTACTACGAAATACTCTACTCAAAGTACCACATATTGAAACTCCAGTATAGAAAGGCAAAAGTAGAAGTTAGTTTGTTTTTAGCTGTGTCAAAAGTATCGAAAATCATTTGAGGCTTGAGTTCTTAGAAAATGTCAGTTTTCACCCACCGCCTATCTCCGCCCACTGCTTTGTACATACTTGCAATTATTATAAAAACTTCAGACCCATTTCTATTATTAAGCTTTTTCCATTTTAGATCAATATTGTTGTTTGAAATGATCTACATATTTTGAAGTTAAAGAATACCTGTCTTCTTAAAAGTATATGAAATAAAAGTATGTTATAAGTAGTTTTATCATTGCTGCCTAGTCCTGAAAAACATGGCCTCAAAAATGTATTTAACTTGAACTTAAAATAGAGCGGTGGTTGGTTCACAAACTCTTCACACCAAAGAAAATATTTTCCTTCCTGAGAAGCACCAGATCTAAACGCAGTCTATAAAGGGACTTACCAAACCTAAACCAAGACAGCATAAGTAAATTAGTCTAGAGAATAGTTGTATGTGAATTAAGGCTGAACAGTCTGTGTTAGTGTTGTCAATATACTAATCTTGAGCTCTATCAGAACAAATATAAGAGCACATAGACCAGTTTATGCTCATGGACCACTATGGAATCGACCTAGACCACTGAGGGATTACACAGGGATGCACCGATATGATACTGATACTGAATGTCAGGGCCGATACTGAAAATTTTTATGGATTGGTACCAAGGTTATAGGTATAGGTTCACTCAGTACCCTGTTTTGGTATATAAATCGTGTAATAGTGTAAAAAAAAAAGAGGTTTTATTTACCAATATTGGCCCAAAGACCATGTCATATTAAACTGTAATTAGTAGGGATGTAACAATAACCAAAATATTCTGATATTGTATCGTCAGAGTTCTAACAATAATATCACAATATATCGAATTACAAGTCTCTTTGCTTAAATGAAGAGTTATGGTGCAGTAATAGCCAAAAAAATGACAGAGGGAACTACATAGACCATGATCCTTTGCTCCATTCAGTGCAGAATACAAGAAGAAATAACAGTTCTAAGCACTTTTAAGTCTTAATTCTTTGGATTAAGTCTTGTCAAGGCTATTATTATTGTTTTTGTTGTATGATTAGATATTGTTTCATCCATAAGCCTCTCCACCATATCATGAGTTTTCCTACGATATCGCAATAAATATCGTACCGTGAGGTTCATACTGTGACAATATCATTTCGTGACACTTGGATATCGTTACACCCCTAGTAATTAGTTTATATGATAAATAAGCATTACAAAACACATTTGGATAACTTTTTCCCAAATGCCATTTTTGTTTTATGGAAGTAAATGATAGCTTTAGTCTCTGCACTGGTATCGGTTGATATCGGGTATCTGCAGATACTTAAAGCTATAGTATCAACGTCAGAAAGTAAATAAATTACTTTTCGTCCGTTGTCCATACAATTTTTTAACTGGACAAAAGTTTATTTGTTTGAATACGTTTCGTAGCTTGGACAGACCAAATAAACTTTTGTCCAGTTGACAAACTGAATTTCTCCTTTTGCCTGGATTCTACTTGGACAATTGTGGGACTGTACACAGACTGTTATTTAATTTATTTAAAATTACATTCTATAGTCTAAAGAGAGAATATTTAGTTGTCATCGTGGTATTGGAATCTGTATTGAGTATCGAGTCAGTTCCTTAGTATCGAAAACAGGTTTGAAGTTTTTGTATTGTGACAACACTAGTTTGTGGAGGTCCAACATAAGGATTAGCAGCTTTTACACAGAATTACACCTCCTGGAGACATAGGGAGGGCATCTGACACACAGGAACACTTCAGAACATATCTGAACTACAGGGTTAGGCATCTTTGTGCAGAATAAGACTGGAGATTTGTTTGTGGAGGAAATGATGGTACTTCAAAAACTGCAGCCTTTGCACTTTGCTAATTGCATCCATTCAAATTTCAATTGCGATCGAGCGAGCAGTCCCGGAGTGAATACCCGTGTTTCCTTCCCTGAGCGCGAGTAGGTCTGCAGACATGTTTTTTACGAGGCCAGAAGCAGTGGAAAACAGAAGGGCCTGCGGTGAGAGCGTGGTACATACAATCACACACTGAGTCCACTTTTAGACAGCACGGAGAATGGAATGTTCACGGGCAGAGGCAGACGCTGGTACAGACGTGGTACACATGTGGAGGGGCGCACTAACTACAAGCTGACAAGGATCCAGACTGTGTACTGTCTAATGCACTAGGGCTAAACCCAAATATTTACCTGGGACAGTCCCAGTTTTGAGCCCCGTGTCCCCTGTCCCTGCAGATTTAAGCAAAACCACTGATTTGTCCCAGTTTTATACAAGAAATGTATCAGGTGTCCCTATTTTTGACCAATCTGATCCCTGCCAACAGTAAAGAGAGGCATAAATTCTCATTTGTTTAAGTAAAATACAGAAAAAGTGCTTAAAAATAACAAAAACACAAAGAAAATATGACTATACTAACTCACATTAGTGCTGAGTGCATAACAGTTTTCCTTAATTACACACTCGTTTCACAATTTTATTATTACCAACCACCACAAACCAGGGATGTCCCAGTTTTGTATTTTGAAAATCTGATCACACTATGTCTAAATATAATGTGTGTTGGTTTTGTTTTGTTTCTTCCAGGGGCTAAGTTCCCGATCAAGTGGACGGCTCCCGAGGCGGCTCTTTACGGGAAGTTCACCATAAAGTCGGACGTGTGGTCGTTCGGGATCCTGCTCACGGAGCTGGTGACGAAGGGACGAGTGCCCTACCCAGGTACGACCACTGTGAAGAACGGAGGGGAATAACGCTTTAGAGTCTGGACATTTCACTTATACTGCACTATAAGCACAATAGGCTCTGTTCACGCTTACGTCACAAATCTGGAAGACGCTTGGAAACATGCGATGACAACTTCCGGTGTAGTTCTCAACACTGGACTCGCCGACCAACTATGATCAAACCCACTGAAGTAAATGTGATCAGCGGTAAAATGAAGACTGCATATGTACGTGCTGTTTGGAATCATCTTGAATTTGGCGCCCTCATCTCTTCTAATTCCCAGTGCGCTCAGAGTTGTGCGTCAGTGGGGAAATGGTGGTTGTAATTGTTGATTAGATGAACATAACGGACCGCTACAATGACATGGACATGAAGAAAACTGTGCCATTTTCTCATTTTCCTGGATTTTGTCAGACTTACTACCGTGAACAGAGCCCGCCAGAAGTTGTCATCGCATGTTTCCAAATGTCTTCCTGGTTTGTGACGTAAGACCGTATATATGAGTGGACATAGCTAGCACTATAGACGCCACGTGCAAAATAGAAAGTGCTCCAGGAAGCTCTTCCGGCTCCTTCTGACTCTGGCTTCAATTGACTTACGTTGGGATCTTGTGGCTCCTCTCTTGCTGCAGTGAGCCTCGTCATTTTGGTCTTAAAATGTCCGTATTAACCCGCTCTACATTTATTCATAACATAGACCCTGGCTTCAGATCTGCTCCTGTAACCGTGAGCATCGCGAGCCTCATTTGAGCGGTCCTGAACGCTTTGGGTGGTGTCATACTTGTTTAGTCCACTTCTTTTATACAGTCTATGGCGTGAACAGAACCTTTACGGTCTTCATTTTTATATTCGTATCAGTGTGTCTTGCAATATTCCCATTTCTAATCTATCGCCTGAGAAATGGAACAAAGCAAAGTCTCTATAATCCCTCAGTCACCAGGTAATACACATACATAGACTGTATTAAGAAGTGGACTAAGGGAGTGTGATGTTATTCCCGTCCAGTCAAATGAAGCTCACGAGGCTTGCAGTTATAGGAGCGAATTTGGAGCCGAGTTCCATTTTAGGAATAATAATTAATTTACTTCCTATCTATTGTTCAGAATGACTTAAATATGTCCAGTAGCACTAAAGCTGCAGTATGTAAATGATGTAGATGTTATTGCTTTGCCTAAAATGTTCCACAGTATGGATTTAAACATGTTTTTATGGCAAAAAACTTGGAAAAACCTAGATTATTACTGTGAACATGATCGCCTCTCCGCATATCTGACCTGTAACTTGGCCTGGTTGCACCAGCTGTTCCTCTCCATTGAGATAGAGAAATTTAATGCTATACTGTCAAACATTCCAGGCAAAGCAAGTAACTCCTCCACATCAGAAAAGTTAGTGCATCTTCAACATTTCAGAACAAGTGTGTAGAGATCTAGAGGGTTTATAAAAGATGGGCTATGAAGCAGTTTGAATTAGAAATTATGTTAACTTTTCTTAATTTGCTCATTGTGACGATTCAAATTGTAAACCAGTTTTCTAAGCCTAATCTTGAACTGTTTGACAATTACTGTATGCATTTCCTGTCAAAATCTACTCTTAAATTCTAATAATCTGAAGCACACACCAGACTGTCTCTCCCCAGAAGACTCGTCTTTATGTGCTGGGGTGCTGTGCGTCTGCTGCAGAGGCCCACAGCTCAGAGCTATAAAAGGCAGTAGAGGCTGTTGTGTAATGTAGGCTACAGACTGTATGCACATGTCCCAGGTGAACGTGTGAACAGACTCAACCTGGCAACCTCATTTAATCACTCAACAGTCTGCATCAAAAGGAAAGTATGAACGCTGGTCATTTTTACAGATAAGTTATTGGACAAATATAGAAAGTGATGGGGCACAGAGCACTGGAGTACAGCTGCTCCCGTGTACTGTAGGGTTCACATTTTCGATTGTAAGAGCTGGGGCTAGATTAATTTGACGTGACTTCGACACTGCAGTCTGAACATAGCTTTAGATTCAAGTGCATGAAACGAATCCATGAACACAAAAACCTTTTAGTCATCCAAGAACTGAATATCCAGTTCCATTTGTCTTTTAAACAAGAATCCCCTGCAGCATCCAAGTTGCTAATTGTTGAAAAAAGTTCTAAACATTTGCCAAGGATTCTTACTGAACAATTATTATTTGCAAAGTTCTCACAGGCATCATGCAATTGATCAAAAGATAAATACAGTTTTGTTGTTATTGTCAGTACTTAATAGTGCATCATGTCACTTTTGTGGTGTAAATTCCGCCACCTGGTCTTTGGCCAACACCCTGTCAGTGCACAATCTCATCAGATCTCTGATGTTAAGCAGGGCTGGGCCTGGTTAGTACTTGGATGGGAGACCGCTGGGAATACCAGGTCCCACAGGGGGGCAGCAGTGGCAAAATCTGCCACCTTAAGGGTGAAGTATAGTTCTGCATTGACTCAACACACACTGCCACCGTCGCCTTGTCGCTGTCATTTTTGATTTATGGGTTTGCATCGAGGTCTATGTGCCGCAAAGTAATTCACCGCCACAACACTAGGAGGTTTTGATTTAAACCTGGCGTTCATGTATACTAGGAGTCTGCAAACTTAAATACTAGGGATGTAACGATATCTAAATCTCTGGGTATGATATTATCTATAGCCTTTATTGTCATTATACACAGTACAATGAGATGCAGAGCTGCTCCTTTAAAGTGCAAAAAACAAACAAACAATTAACAGTTCTCAGTGCAAAGTTGAGTTCAGTATGGTGACAGCTTTGGGAAAGAAGCTGTCCCTGAGTCTATTTGTTCTGGCTGGTATGGACCTGAAGCACCTGCCAGAAGGCAACAGGTTGAAGAAGTTGAAGCCGGGGTGTGTATTTTCCTTTATGATGTTCCTAACCCTGCTGAGACAGCAGGAGTTGTATATTGTGGTTATGGAAGGCAGAGGGCAGCCAATAATTTCCTGTGCAGTGTTGGTCACCATCTGCAGACGTTTCCTGTCAGCCTCTGTGCAGCGAGAGTGCCACACTGACACAGTAGAGGTCAGCGGGCTCTCAATGGTGGAAAGATAGAAGGTCACCAGCATGCTTGTGTTTAGTTGCTCCTTCCTGGGCACCCTCAGGAAGTGTAGCCGCTGCTGGGCCTTTTTGAGCAGTGCTGAGGTGTTGACTGACCAGGAGAGACCTGCAGAGATGTGAACCTCAAGGAATTTTAAGGACTCCACTCGCTCCACACTTTCGCTGTTGATGTACAGGGGGCAGGGGTGGCTCTGTTCTGCTGAAAGTCTAGGATGAATTCCTTAGTCTTGGTGATGTTCAGTGAATGTTTAATGCCTGAAACTGTAAAGTGATTTTTTGTGTCTAGAAAAGCTGTATTAGGCTCATGCAATAGTAGTAGTAGCAGTAGTAGTATTACTTGCACCCTCCTCCAAGGAAATTACATAGTGCACTATTAACATATTAAACAGAACTGGGAAGGGAGGGCACACTTTGACCCATCTTTCAAATCCACAGGGGCGACCTGTCAAGAGCAGTGATGGAGTGACCAGACTTCCCTATACACCCGGGACAAGTCCAGTTTTGAGGCCTGTGTCACATGTCCCACGGTGTCCCCATTTTTGACCAATTTGACACTTGCCAACAGTAAAGACGGGAATATATTGTAGCTAAAATACAGAAAACCATGCTTGAAAATGAGCATAAGGCAAAAAAACAAAAACAATATTACACACTATTTTAACTATTTTATTTATACCAACCATTCCAACCTCAGTGTGTCCCAGTTTAGACTTTTGCTTAGATGGAGGATCACACTCTAGTTCATGTTTCGAGTTGATCTCCAAAACTCTTACCCCGCTCGTCTCTTCCCTCCAGGCATGAACAACCGCGAGGTGCTGGAGCAGGTGGAGAGGGGCTACCGCATGGCGTGCCCCCAGGACTGCCCCTCCTCTCTGCACGAGCTCATGGTGCAGTGCTGGAAGAAGGACCCCGAGGAGAGGCCCACCTTCGAGTACCTGCAGGCCTTTCTGGAGGACTACTTCACTGCCACGGAGCCTCAGTACCAGCCCGGGGACAACCTCTGAGCCCGCGCCACTGCTGCTAATGCTAATGCTACGGCTAAGGTTAATGCTACCGCGGAAAGCAACGTCCACGTACAGGGAGGAGGGCTGGAGCAAGAGGACCCGTCTGGTTTGGAGGAGTTTTGGGTAGGATTTTTGGGAATTGCAAGGTCGAAATGATTTGACTTGATAGGAATGATCAGTCAAAACATGGTTGCGAGGTAGCCTAACAATTATGGAATTCCCTTGCGTGATTTTATTAAATTTTTAATCTAAAAAAATGGCCAAACTGATCTTAATTGTGTTTTAGTCAAATGAGCAGTCATAGGCACTTTACTGCATTATAGATCCATACTGAAGACATCAAATATACAAAGCAAGTAGTGTTGTAGTCGAGACCACACCAAGACCTCTGAGGGTTGAGACTGAGACAAGAATTTTAAAGGCCATCGAGACTAAATTGAGACCATCTTTGTCATTCTCTTCATTTATTTGTATTTCACTCTTATTTTGGCACAAATATATATCAATGTTTTAAAGTTTTTGTTTTTAAGCAACACTCTGCGCCCCTTTTTTGGACGCGCATCCACAGTTGGAGAACATCTTCATTAATCCCACTTACACTGGCACTTTACAGAAAACTCCTTCAAAGTGAATCAAGTGGGTATAATTTTTAAACTATCTAGACTTACATTCTCTTCTTGGTTTTGCAGTGGTATTTCACAGCCTGTGCTCATTTACCAAACCAAACGCACATCGTGACAAACACAGATGTACCGCACATCGGTACAAGTTTATTGCCGACAGCAGCGGCCATAATGAAATATGATCGCACTCGACAAACACCAGACCTCAAGTCCATGACAAGACTCAGTCCAAGAGCCTTCAGAACTGAGACAATACAGAGTCCAAATGCGCTAGAGAGAAAAACAACGGTCTTGAGGCCAATCTCGAGACCAAAACCAATCTCGAGTACTATGGCACTAGAGGCAAGATGTATGGAATTATCTAAATAAGTTTTATATTTTATATCATTTTTTTTAAATTTCCCAAACCATCCACCCTTTGCTTTGTGGAGAGCACTGCAAACCCTTGACCCTTGAAGTCTCCTGGCATGGTTTTCACTTCAGAGCTGTGCCATGTCGGGGTTCATTAGAGGCCGCATCTCAATTCTCTTTCCTCGTTTCCTTTTCCTTGATTCCTTTCCTCGATTATCCATTTTTCAGCTGTCGATGAAACGTGTCATATTATGCGGTGTCCCAGAGTAAACCACGGAATGAAGGCGTAAACCTGAGGGAGGCTTCAGGAGGCAGGCGTCAGATAAAAGAATCAAACTTTATCGGTCTCAGCGAGCAGTTTATATCCTCTGTCTTCGCTCTGTCTTCTCTTTGGGTGGGACTTCCTCACCTATTTCCTGCAGAATCAAGGAGAGGAATCAAGGAGAAGGAAGCGAGGAAAGAGAAATGACACGCTGCCCAAGAGTATAAAAAGGATTACAGTGGCGAATTGGCTATTACAAAAAATGTAAAATTGAAAACATGAGTAGAGTTATTTCACACTTTTTGGTTTACTTCATTCCGTATGTGTCCATTCATAGTTTTGATGTCTTCAGTGAGAATCTACACTGTAAATAATAATAATAATTCAATGTGATGTAGTCTCACTTTAAGTACAAATAGAGTAAATAAGTAAAACAAAAAAAAAACAAAAAAAAAACATCCTTAAAAATATCCTGTCAATGGGCTAAGATGTTTTATGTCAAATTGTCAGGTTAGGGGAAAAAGTTGTTTCAAGTTAAAACAATTAACTTTGAAATAAATAATGCAAACATAAATTTCTTTGGCTGTCTTAAAATTGCAAAATAATGAAATATTGAAACAAGTCAAATAATGTGGACCTTGCAATTCAAAAATCTTGACTTAAAATTCCTCAAATCACGGTAAATCTTCTTAGTCCAAGCCATTCGATGTGGAAATTGCTTTTGGCCGTGTGCTTGTCCTGTCACCGGCTCCCCAGCAGAGGGCGCCACACTCCACACATTCGGTCATCATGTGGATCTCCATTGACTTTGTCCAAGTTTCCCATGCACCAAGACTTTAACCTGGAAGGACGGAAGAATTCTCACGAGACTGCCATGGAGGAAGTTGTACGTAATGTAAATATACCAAAATTTGCTTGTCTACTTATCTCTTATTATTATTATTGTTGTTTATTTTTCCCGTTTTTCTTACTTTGATATTCTCGGAAAACCTTTTGTGTGGATTTTTTTGAATCCGATGAAACAGCTGGTAGTGAGCAGGCAGCGAAGCGTATATGAAGTAGGTTTAGAGGTGGTGGGATAGTTCCTGGGCCTTTCCCTGGAGTCCACCGCACCTTTTTTACAAGCTTAATTTAATAATACTGATACACCGTCAAAATAGTATCTGCGTTGACAAACAAATGACTTGAATTCAGAAATTTTTACATTTTTTTATTTAGATTTTTTAATGTATTAGACCTTGACTATTTGACTGGTGTAAAACAATAAAAAAAAATAAAAATTCTAATTTCAAAACCAAATGATCTGCATATAATAGTTATTTTAATAATTTTTTAATGTATTTAATATTTTAATAATTTAGTTCCACTCTAAATATAATTCTATTGGCAGAAAATTTTGCTAATAAATTATAACATAATATCTTGATAGGAACACATTTTTGGAACACATTTTTCCAGGTAAAAACTTCACAAAAATCTTAAAATTGGTTAAAAATTTTATTAATAAATGTTTCAAAGCGAGATTTTTAAATTTCAAAACACAATAACAAAGGAATATCTCTTTTCTTACTACATTTACAGATGTTACAAAAATCCACAATTTTGTTGCACTGGTAAGAGTAAACATTGCTTTGAAATTAGAAAATCTCTCAAAATATGATTTTCAGATTTCAAAAAACAGATCATTTGCAAAATAATATATTTACAAGTGTTACAAAATTGCTTTTAAAATAATGTTACGTTGTCAGATTTATTTTCAGAAAACATGTAAAAATCAAAAAAATTTAACCCAAAACACAAATAAACCCAAACTAGTGAGATCTACTCAAAATTTACAAATACAAATTTACAAATAAATTTAAACTTGGCAGATCTATTCAGAATTTACAAATAAATCCAAACTAGTCAAATATACGCAAAATTTGCAAATAAAAAATTACAAATAAACCTAAAATAGTCAGATTTATTTCAGAATTTACAAATAAAACCAAAGTACTCAGATCTACTCAAAATTTACAAATAAATCCGAAGTAGTCAGATGTACTCAGAATTTACAAATACACCCAAACTAGTCAAATCTACTCAAAATTTACAAACTAACCCAAACTAGCCAAAACTAATTGTGTACTCAAAATTTTCAAATAAACCTAAATTAGTCAAATCTACTAAAGTTTCCCAATAGAGAATCCAAGTCATTTTGAAGTAGCGCACGTATTAATTTTGCCGGTGTGTCTTTTCTTCTCAAGGAGCTGTATGATAACACCTGTTCTTGCCTTCTCATCTTTAGTAATATCTTCTAATATAAGGAATGCCTTCATGCTTTTACACACTAACTACTATACGAGCCTATAGCGCTAACCATGGACTCCTCCTCACCCTGTCACCGCACCATCCGAGCTTCAGCCAATCATTTTCTATTTTAGACTTTTTATTATTATTATTATGATTTTCAATTGTTTGTCGCTACGGATACAGAACGGCACTCGAATACGATCAACCGTGGAAGAATCTTTGCCCGGGCAGCCTCACAGACGATAAAACGGACTGCCGAATTCACAATGAAGGATTTGCAATATCTGTCTCCACCCATCCATGAAGTGACTCAGAATGAATTGTATAAGAGGTCCAACATCGCATTGTAATTTTTATTTTTGTTAACCAACCGGTGCGTTCGCGGCGAGTTTGATGTCGGGATTTCCAAAACGAGGGCGGGTCTGTGGAGCTGTATTTTTTGAATTTACTGTTTTAGATGAAATGTCCTCAAAAAAAATCCTCAAAAAAACAATTTCAACAAGTTTACCTTAATAATCTTCTTTCCAAACATCCTCTTAAAGACGCATTGTGTAACTTTACCACGTGTATGTCTCCATGGTAACATTACTGCTTTATCAGTAAGGTTTGACAGCTTTTAAATTGCTGAAAATAAATCGTGACAAGGCTCGCCTCTCCACAAATCTGACCTGTAACTCGGCGTGGTCGTGTTATCTTCTTGTCCTCATACACGCAAGTTAAATGCCATACTGTGGAACATCCCAAGCAAAGTAATAACATCGCCATGGAGACGAACAGGTGTGAAGGTGACACCACTGACAGGAAAAACTTGGTAATTATTTGGCCTATCCACATGAAGAAAAAAAAAGAAAAAAAAGTGGCACAAAAATTTTAAAGGTTCTGTACCAGATTTTTCTGAATTTTACTGCTCTCAAAAATATGAAAAACACAACTAGTTCATTTTAAACTAGTTATTTGGACAACTGCAAACCTCAAAACTCAAGAGCTTCTTTTACAGTGTCCCTATTTTGACAAATTTTGACAGCTAGTATGCCAAGCGTGTACTTCCTGATTCTCTAACCTAAAAAAAAAAAGCTTCATAATGAGATGCAGACGTGTGCTGTGTACTTCCTGATTCTGATGTGGAAGGACACAGCAGACTTATTTTGGTTGTATAATATCTTTGTACTGGGGTAAGACTTTTGACTGCAAAGTTAATAACATCTAGCATGCTAACTGTGTACTTCCTGATTCTCAGATAAATCTCACATTATAATACATGCAAACGGTACACAGCGGATTTACTTTGACCTCAAGACCTGCTTGTACAATATCTCTGCACTGGGGTAAGACAACACTGGAGAACTCTAAAAATAACAACAGCTAGCATGCTAACTGTGTACTTCCTGATTCTCACATAATTCTTGCTTTATAATACATGCAAACAGTACAAAACAGATTTACTCTGACCTCAAGACCTGCTTGTACAATATCTCTGTACTGAGGTAAGACAATGTTAGAGAACTGTAAAGATAACAACAGCTGGCATGCTAACTGTGTACTTCCTGATTCTCAGATAATTGTCAGTTTATAATAGATGCAGACCGTACACAGCAGATTTACTTTGACCTGAAGACCTGCTTGTACAAAATCTCTGTACTGGGGTAAGATGACGTTTGAGTGTAAAGATAACAGCTAGCATGCTAACTGTGTACTTCCTGATTCTCTGATAATTGTTGCTTTATATTACATGCAGACGGTACACAGCAGATTTACTTTGGCCTCAAGACCTGCTTGTACAATATCTCTGTACTGGGGTAAGATGACGTTTGACTGTAAACATAAGCACAGCTAGCATGCTAACTGTGTACTTCCTGATTCTCAGATAATTGTCAGTTTATAATAGATGCAGACCGTACACAGCAGATTTACTTTGACCTGAAGACCTGCTTGTACAAAATCTCTGTACTGGGGTAAGATGACGTTTGAGTGTAAAGATAACAGCTAGCATGCTAACTGTGTACTTTCTGATTCCCAGCTCATTCTTACTTATAATTGGATACAAACCGTACACAGCACAGCAGACTTATTTTGACCTCAAGACCTGCTTGTACAATATATCTGTACTGTGGTAAGTCTACGTTTGGCTGTAGAGATAACAACAGCTAGCATGCTAACTGTGTACTTTCTGATTCTCTGATAATTGTTGCTTTATAATACATGCAGATGGTACACAGCAGATTTACTTTGGCCTCAAGACCTGCTTGTACAATATCTCTGTACTGGGGTAAGATGACGTTTGACTGTAAACATAAGCACAGCTAGCATGCTAACTGTGTACTTCCTGATTCTTTGTATAATTCTCAGTTTTGTAATTGGATGCAGACAGTACACAACAGACATATTTTGAGCTCAATATCTGCTTGTACAATATATCTGTACTGGGGTAAGACAACATTGAAAAACGGTAAAGATACCAACAGCTAGCATGCTAACTGTGTACTTCCTGATTCTTGACTGATTCTAAATTATAATTACAAGCAGACAGTACACAGCAGACTAACTGTGACCTCATGACCTGCTTGTACAATATATCTGTACTGGGGTAAGACAACATTGGAGAACTGTAAAGATACCAACAGCTGGCATGCTAACTGTGTACTTCCTGATTCTAGGATCATTCTCACATTTTGCTCAAAAACATGGAAAACAAATCGGGTACAGGCTCTTTAACTATACATAAATAAACCACATCAAAACAGGTTAAACGGCAAATTCCGCCGCAGAATCCCGACCTTTCCGAAAGTTTAGAAAATCCCGACATCACGCGAACGCACCGTAACCTCCGGGCTGTGTTTAAGGATGTGTACTATATTCACGGGACAGTGTTTTTTGGCCCCAGCAGCACCCTCCAGTATTGGACATCTCTGTGTGTTCTGACGGTCTCACGAGCAGAAGAGGACAGTGGACACGCGCGGGACATGTCTCTGCATTATTTATTGTCTGTACACAGCGGCTGGTTTTCAAATAAACAATCTCTCATGAACACGTCTGCAACCTCAACCTGTGTGTTTTTTTTTGTTTTGTTTTGGACTTGTTTGACGTAAAGAGCGGTTGATCTGTGCGTGAAGTGTTTGTTTTTCTTTTCTTCGTTGGCGCAGTGATGGAATGTGAGCCGGTGAATGAGTTAGAACAGGTCACGTTTCGGTCGGTGGGTGAACGCTTAACCCACTTTTGTCGCTTTCACACGTTTAACACACAAACACGAGTCCATGTGGTAATACAGGAAGTGCTACACTGTGTTTTCAAACACCACACACCTTCACTAGAATCATTTGGTTAATTTCAGCCCCAGAATTGTCCATTTCTTCTGAAATAAACTTGAAAACTACCACTATGTGACTACAAGAACTGCGAAAAACTAAATCTAGTCAAGTTAAGATGACTGGAATTAAGAAAGTTTTATCATGATTTGAGTAAATGTCACTTAACAAGTAAAATTATCTAGACTTTTTGTACTTAAAATATGAAAAGGCATCTTGCTTATCCAAGTCTCACGATACGATATCGTCACAGTATAGATGCATCAACGATCTCGGACTTCCGGTCATTGCGCAATGCATACTGGGAAGGATTTTCTGAAAAAGCAAGCATCAAACCGCCATGTTTGTTTTCCCAGTGGGATGCGTCTATTGACAAAGTCGATCTTTTCTAGTCTTTTGAACCATATCGCTTTTGTTTCTGGTTCTGATATTGTCATATTTTAGTTGTGTGGACATCGTAATTGTGTGGTTGTTGGATGTCCTAACAGCGGAAAACGGCTCGAGAAATTTGTTTGCGAACTCCATAAATGCAAAAGGGAATCAGATCTGTGTGACTGCAAACCTCCGTTCAAACTATTTTACTTCCCAATGGAATTTAAAAATGGTGAAAGGTGAAGGCGATGATTCTTGATGCATCTATAAATCTCACAGTACGATATTTATTGTGATATCATGGGAAAGCTCACGATATGGTGGGAAGGCTCACTATTAGGGATGTAACAATATCCAAATCTCTTGATATGATATTTTAACGATATTCATCTCTGCGATATATTGTGGAGGCAAACAAAACTGTTAATGACACTTTTTCCTCTTAAAATGCCTTGACAAGATTTAATCCAAAGAATTTAGACTTAAAAGTGCTTAGAACTGTTATTTCCTCATGTAGTCTGCACTGAAATGGAGCAAAGGATCATGGTCTATGTAGTTCTCTCTGTCTTTTTTTTTTTAGCTATTGCTGCACCATAACTCTTAATTTAAGCAAAGAGACTTGTAATTTGATATATTGTGATCATCCACGATATTATTCTGAGAAATCTGATGATACGATATCATGATATTTCCGTTATTGTTACATCCCTAATCTTGCTACACTTAAAATAACAAAAACAAAAAAACTACTTTTTGGGGTGTTCAAACTTTTTTCATCAAGGGCCACATATCTGAACACAGACGAAGCAGAGGGCTGATCGAGGGCCGTAGACTGGCAAGGCAAGGCAAGTTCATTTGTACAGCACAATGTGTACACAAAGTAATTCAGAGAGCTTTACACAATAAGAAAAACATTAAAATCACAATAAAAACAAATCAAAATATAAATAATCATCAAAAAATTTAAGATTAAAATGTTTTAAATTAAAACGAGAGAGAGACATTAATTACATAAATTAGAGAGAAGAGTGCGGAATGAAAATCTTTCAGTCATATGCACAACCGTTTTGAGTCTGGATTTAAACAAAGTCAATGTAGAGTCTGTCTCACATGTTCAGGAAGACTGTTCCAGGTTTTAGCTGCATGAATCTGAAACGCTGACTCCCCGTGTTTAGTCCTGACTCTGGGCACCAGCAGGAGGCCGGTCCCTGAGCTCCTCAGAGTGTGAGATAGTTCGTATGGCTCTAACATATCACAGATGTACTTTGGTGCTCGGCCATGGAGAAACTTGTACAAGCAGAGACGCTTTAAAGTCTCTGAGTCACAGGAGTCAGTGCAGAAACCTGAGCACAGGACGCATGTGCTCGTACTTCCTGGTTTGAGTCAACACCTGAGCTGCAGCATTCTGGATGTTCTGCAGTGTCTCACAGCTGATTTGGAGAGGTTAGGGTCAGATGTCTGATTTAGACAGTAAACCTTTGATATTTGCTGTGTTTTTTAAGATGGTAAAAAGCTGCAGATCTTATTGATTTGATGTGGCTGTTAAAGTTCAAGTCTAAGTCCATTATTACCCCGAGACTTCTTGCCTGATTTGAAGGTTTTAGAGATTTGAAGGTTTTAGAGAGACTGGAGGTGACTCCTGACACTGTCTTTGTTTCTGTGGACCAAACACTATGACTTTTGTCTTGTCTGAGTTTCGCTGGAGAAAGTTGTTTTGCGTCCACACACTGATCTGTTGGACACAGTGGTAGAGAGAGTCCACTGGTCCATAGTCTCCTGCTGCAGTGAGACGTAGATCTGTGTCGTCTGCAGAGTTGAGGTAGGACACATTATTGGTCCTCAGCACAATAATAATTGAATGAATAATTGAAATATGTGCATGTTAGAATGAGCCATCAGTCTTTATTCATGCCAAGATCCTTAAAACCACACACTAAATATTAAGTATTAGCTTTATCAAGGTAGATAAAAAAAAAAAAAAAAAAAACTTGCAGTAAAAAGTTCATTTTTAATTGATGCAAGGTAATCTGGGCCAATTCACCTGGAAGCCTGAGGGCCAAGAAAAATTTGTCTGAGGGCCGCATGGGCCATAGTTTGGACATGCCTGACTTCAAATAAGAAATAAAATCAAATGTTGCTTGAATTAAGTAAAACACACTTATTCTACTGGTAGATCATTTTACTTGTGGAGTTGAATCAACTCAAATGTTCTTAATTTAAGTCATTTTAACTTGCCTAGATATAGGTTTTTTTTCCCAGTCTGACCTTTGGAAATGTAAACAGACTAATAATAAATAACTCAAACATGTGTGAATGAAACAAAGCACAACTCCAGGTTTGTTTTTGAGGAGGAAACAACATTATAACATGACTTAAAGCTCACAAGAGTCAATTTTGAGCCATATAGGACCTTTAATTGTACTATATTTTGCTTTGTTTACAAATTGTTTACACAGAAAACATTCGCAGCAGCAGCACGTGACGATGCTATTAATTGTCAATACAACAGTTGTTTAGCTGCTTTATATGCAAATCAGCGCTATTTTTAGCCCGGTTAAATTCCTGTGTTCATTGAGAGTGGTCAACGGTTTAACTGACTATGCCAAGTATGCAAATACGAAAGCAAACTGACAAATATCACACTGGAAAAAAAAACACAATATCTACGTAAGTTAAAACGACTTAAATTAATAACAGTAGACTTTATTTGAGTCATTTCAACTTGACAAGTAAAATTATCTACCAGTGGAGTGTTTTTTTTCTTAATGTAAGCAACATTAGATTTTGTTTCTTATTTTACGTGCAAAAAGTTGTAGTTTTTCTTATTTTAAGTGCAAAAACTTGATGCATTTTCATATTTTAAGCTCAAAAAGGCTTTTTCCACTGGTAGAAAATTTTACTTAAGTGAAATTGACTCAAATCATGATAAAACTTTATTAATTTAAGTCATCTTAACTTGGCTAGATTTTGTTTTTTTGCAGTGCATTAAAATTTGAAATACAATTGCGATCATTTCTTTAAAAAAATATCTTAAAGGGCCTATTTTGCTAAATTTTTATCTATGTTATAATGTTGTTTCCTCATCAGAAATAGACATGGAGTTGTGTTTTGTTTCATTCACATATGTTTAACACACAGGTCCTGCATATTTAGGCTGAGTTCTTCTCTCAAACAGAAAATACTTCCACCTTGTGATGTCATGTGGTAATACAGGAAGTTTTCTATGTTGTTTTTAAACTCCACACACCTTCACTAGAATCATTTGGATGAATTGAGCCCTGGAATTGCAGTAGTCATGAGCACTTTACTGCATTATAGATACATACTGAAGACATCAAATATATGAAGCAAGTAGTGAAAACCAAGACCTGTCCGAGACCACAGGGTCCCGAGACCAGGACAAGACTAAGACCTCTGAGGGTCGAGACCAAGACGAGACCAAGATTTATAAATACTGAGACTGAGACAAGGCAAGACCACGACCCATCGAGACCAAATCAAGACCAAATCAAGACCATCTTTGTAATTTTCTACATTTATTAAACTTTTTTAGCCTCATTGAAACGGCTTCACTCATTGGTGCACCAGCAGATATTTTTTCTATGGTAAAACGAAAATATTAAAAAATAAAACTATACTAGAGCAGTTCAAAACTGTTTAATTGAAAATTCATTGAAAAAAAAAAAAAAGAACTTTGATTTATTAGAACTACCAATAAATGACAAAAGGTGAAACGAGGTGAAATGGAGTATTATCAGTGCAGAGTAATAATCCAGGATGACTCAAACATGTGTGAATGAAACAAAACACTACTCCAGGTGTGTTTTTGGTGAGGCAACAGCATTATAACATGGCTTAAAGCTCACAAGAGTCAATTTTGCATAATAAAAACGTGGTGACAAAGGCCTTCTTGACTAGGGCCAACTATTCATCAGCGATGGGATGTTTCTGACTGAATCAGTCAACTGTTCCTTAATGTGAATGTTTATCTCAATTTTTAAAATAACTAAATCTTTTTCTTTCCAAATTTTTAAAGCACTTTAATTAGGGCCGGGCATGTGTTAATTTTGAGTTAACTAATTAATTATCACCGATGATTATTTTTCTCCCCTTCATGCAGTTTTTATTTTAAATTTTTTTTTTTATTGTAAACGTCTGTTCCTCACCGACTTCTATTTTGAAAACGTCCATCGTGAGCGTGTCTAGAATGTTACTGGTGCAGCGCACACAGGAAACGGAGAGAAACAAAGCAGGATAAACAAACATGGAGAAGGGTAAGGAACTTTTACACGTCCATTTTCATTTTTCATTTTAAAGTTCTTCCAGATGGTGCAGTCGACGAAGCCAAAGTCATT